GGAAAGAGGCACGTATCAAATACACATCATACAAAACACTTCTGAATTATAAATGGCATTCCCCAGTGGGATGGTCCAAGTGGCATCAAGTCTGCATACACACCCATGAATCCTCCTCAAAGTTTTCCCAAATTTCCTCTCTTAAGATATATCAGCTTCTTCAAGCCTGCATGTTTAAGGGTTTCTTCAGCCTACCTGCCATGGTATGGTAGGGACTTACACTTTCAGTGCCTGAGGACCATACTTTTAGCAGCTAAAAAAGTCCTGATTAGCCATGATAAGCTCAAAAGGAACCACCATGGCACAGGCCCATTGGTGGCTCACCTCAGGCATTCTAGATGTGTCCACAGGAGGCACGCCTCAAGCAGTGATCAGTGGCAGCTGTGCCTAGACCCCGAAAGTGAGCAGGGCCTCAGTATCCCCTAAGCAATCGTGTCTGCTTTGTGAGGTACAACCTCAAACCTATTGTTGAGGTCTTTATTGAAGCCAGTGCAGAATTCCACTGAGCTGGTGCAATAGTTTTGCTTATCACAAGGTCTGTGAGATTAATTGTTGGAACTGGAAATGGACCACTTGTGACGATTGCACTGTTCGATTGCACTGTTGTACAGTGGTTATTGTTATGTCATACGTATCTTAATGGTTAACAGACAAGGACCCAAAATATATTTTAAAAATGAAGTCAAAAGGACCTGTATAAATAGAACGTGTGCCATGTTGCATATTACTATCATTTTTAATACTTGTAATGACATCCATTTTATATATGTAGATTGATGCCTTTCTATTTTAATTTTTAAAACTGTGAGATCAGTTTGCATAAGTTTTTGTACCTTTCATCGTGTGCTATTTGTGACTGGCTTCAATAACTTATGTGCAATGGTAGTGTTTTACTGGAAGAAGGGAAGTCTCAATTTGAAAATAATTAAGGTTAATAACTTTTACCAGATATTTTGTTTGTATTGCTTTCTTTGGGTACATTTGATCCCAATACCTGATTGGTACAGTCTTTTTTTATATTGTTGAAGGACTAAACATATTATACATTAATTGTGAATAGCTTTCCATGGGACAAAGAAGCCTTCTATGGTAATAACCCCAGGGGAGTAGTCATGTTGCAGCAAAGGGCTGGGACATCTGGCAGAATAGCAGTTTTGTTGCAGCATAACAAAAAGAAACCAAAAAATCAGCAACGGAAGGGCTGCTAGGAGAAAGGCTAAAGCTCTAGAACTAGAAGATACCATTGCAATGACATAGTTTATGGCAGGGACCACCAAATTCAAAAACTGCCACTCTCAAACTACCTAAAATACGATTAGCCTCGTCAGCATACGGTACTCCCAAGAGCATGGAAATATTAGAACTAAGAAGTTAAATCTGTGTTCCAGAATTCTTTGGCAGGCACCCAAAGATGTCAGAGAAACATTAGGCTGCGTAACTTTTCACAACTGTAAAGCTGAGCTGCTTTGTAGCTTTTCTTGATTGTTTATTTTATTTATTTAAGGTTTTTATAGACCCTTCTCTCAGTACATGCTCTCAGAACAGTTTCCAAACAGTTTGTTTGGAGGAATGGAAATAACAGCTATGGTTAGGGCATTCATGATGAAGAGATGTTGAAAGGATCAGTGGATATGTTGGGTTCACGATAAAGTGGCACTCACAGGTGATAATTAGATGTTGCAGGTATCTCACTGGGTGAAGCACTTACTTGAAGGTACCTTTAGGCACTTGCTTGATTGTGTCCAAATTCAGCTACTTTAATTTTAAAAAATTCTGAAAATCTGTGCTGATCTGGACCTTTGCATGTCTCAGTTTGATTGGCAGTTGCATTTTCCGATTCCTATGAGACTGCGCTCTAGCCTTTTCAACACAAGGCATTTATCGTGCAACTCCTTACAGTGGCTTACAAGCACATTTATGATCCTCCTGTTTTGCTTCTCTTTTTTTCCAGGGCCCTTTCCCTGTTTCTTTTAGTGAGGGAAATTCGGTATTAAGTTATAGTGGGGGAAATGGCGCTCTTTCTCTTTGTATATTTGCAGTATTCCGGGATACAGGAATCAAGAGGTTGTGGAGCAGGAAAGGAAGCATTCATTGTGCAGAGCATGGGTCTCAGCGCTGCAAGAAACCTGAGAGCTCATGGGGCAGTTAGCAGCCTCGTGCAGAAAAGCTGTTTGTACGTAGGATGCATTGACTGGATATAAATTCTTACACCAATCCATTATTTCAGGGATTTTCCCAAGGCCAGCCCAATGACTACATGTGCCCCTTTTCCCCATTGCTTGAAGGTGATCCGGTACCCTTGCAACTTCCCGCCCTACCTTTGCTGTGCAATCTACTGATCTGGACCAACAAGCTTGTGCTCACTCCACAAAATCTTGCTGAAGCAAAACGCTTTGTAATTCCAACAGCCTGTCCCTTGCTGCCTGCCTTCTGCTCCAGGGGCAAAGTTGGAGGTGTGGGATGTATGGAGCCCCTAAACAGCTTGATCAGCCTTACCCACTTGCTTAATCCCCTGGCTGGTTGAGAGCATTTCAAATGTGTTAAAAGTGTACAGGCTTGGTTTTTTCTTCTTTGACGTTCCACCTGATTTCTGACCCCTTTGGAAGCTGCCATTCCAGTAAGTGATTGCTTTAGCGAAGATTGCTGGGCCTTTAAAGCTCAGTTCTCTGCTGCCTTTATGACAAGATGCATCATCTCTTGAGTCACCCCATTAGCTATGTATTTTTTGTATATGGTATACATGGAAACTGTACTTGCTGATGAAAAACCAATCCAGCACATAAGTGGAAGTGGCAGGGGAGCAGAGCCAGTGTGGTGTAGTGGTTAAGAGCACAGGACTGGGATTCAGGTGATCTGGGTTCTAGTCTCTGCTCAGCCACAGAGCCAACTGGGTGACTTGCCAGTCACAGCCTCTCAGCCCAACCTACCTCACAGGGTTGTTGATGTGGGGATAAAATTCAGAGCAGCAGGAGGAGAATGATATAAGCTGCTTTGAGTTCTTTAAAAGAAAAAAGGTGGGATATGAATGCAATAAATAAATAAATAAGTACAAGAAGATAATGCATGGCTTTGTTGTGAAAATTCTGTCAGGTTTGAGAAGGATAAGCTAGCTCTGTAAAAGGAGGAAAGAAAATCTGAAACAATCAAATCCTGCAGAACTGGGAGGTGTGGCATTGCTTAAAGGAGCTTTTTCCCAATCCCATTGAATACAAAAAGTGACCATGATCCACGTGCTTAACTTTTGTGTTGAGCACAGTGTGACACATGCACACTTAACTTGGATTGGAATGTGCCCAGAAGTAACACAAAGTTACCATGCTGTGTTCGTTTTCTCTGTGGAATCTGAAAGCTCTTTTACATGGCAAAAAGGGTAATCTGAGATTGTTCTTACAACCCTGCCACTTTTTCCAAAGAAAGGATGCATTGTTGGTCATGCAAGGATATGTAGTGCCTTTTTCTGGCTTCCTGTTAATGCTTCTGCTTTCATTAACACTACACCTCCTCCTCACTCAACGACATACGTAGAGGGTGCTTAGCCCAAGACTTGCATGTGTGGTAGTCACTTGTGATCTTGCAGTGTTGCAGGAGCCAGGGAAGTGCTGTGCCTCCTGCCACATGCGAAAACAATTCTTTTAGGAGTCACGGTCTTTGCATGGGGTGCAAGCAGGAGACGCCAATCCAGCATCTCATAGATCTCCAATCCCTAACAGTTTCAGTGTGTCGTGCATAAGAAGAGAATGCAAAATCATACAGAGAATTGAAAACACTGAACACATGTACACATGCTGTGCATGACATTTTGATCTTTTCCTGCTTTTGTTCAGTAATGTGAGTGTGAAGGGGGCAAAGGTAAAGTTCCCCACCATCCCAGACTTACAGTAAAACCATTCATACTTCATACCAAGTTTCTTGAGATTGATTGATTGATTGATTGAACTTATATCCTACCCATTTCTCTTCCAAGGAACCCAAGGCTGCTTATACAATTCTCCTCTTCCTCTCAATCACATCCTCACAACAACATTCCTGTGAGGGAGGTTGGGTTGAGTCTGTGACTGGCCCAGAGTCTCCCAGTGAGCTCCAGGGCTGAGCGGTGACTAGAACCCAGACCTCCTGAGTCCCAGTCCC